AATTTTAATGTCTGTAACCCTGAAATCTGAAAATAAATGCAGCTCACAAGTCCATTCACATAACTGGACATTAAGGCATAATAAAAAGGCACAATGGCAGTGTTATTAAAATGAATGATAGCGCTGTTTGTGGCTGGTCTACTTGCAATCATGTATGAGGATCATTACATGAAGCCGAGAGGCTTAAAAATACAGCTCGGAGACATTAAGTGGTAGTGATAACAGCAGAATAAAAGAAGAGGACTGCTTTAATGGGAACTTTTTTAAACACGCTGAATACTGAATGCACCCTCACTCAATACTTTGCATATTTGCCCAAACAATAGCTTTAGTCCCATAGAACAAGCATAACAAACCGACCCCAAAGATTTGATTTAACTGCAATTCCTTTAGACGGGAAGCTTGGAAGTGGAAAAAAAGAAAACAGCACTACACTGATGCCCCTCCACTACTCTTAACCTTACATTTTCACCTGTCTTCAAAAATCACTTCAAGGCAATTTCTCACAAAACACACTTTTTGAGGGTTTCCTTTAAATCCATTTGATCCCAGTAACAATACAGCTTTACCTTGTTCATCTATGGTCCAGAACCCTTAAAAAAGTGTTTCTGCTTTTTCTAAAAAAAAAAAATAAAAAAAAAGTGCAATTGTGTGAAAGAGTCTTCTACACTATTACACACAGCTGTCAGCTTTCCTGAACGTCAAGCCAATATGGAATAAAACATGGTGTGTTAAAACAAAAGCGAGACTTTGTTTTCCCAGTAGCGTTTATGTCTTCAGTTTAGCCTTTTAGCCATCAGTGCTAAACTTTATGAATGCTATTAATAAACCATCGGAACCAGTGCTTTGTGAGCGAGTGCATTCAATACACCCTTTTCACACACTCTCGAGAGGTATCTGAGAAATAATAATTTCTAGCACCAGAGGGATTGTTTTTCCTAATTGACAGCCATCTTAGATCCATTAGTACACTGCTGTCAGTATACCCGGCTTTGATCTGTGATGTCAGCTGGATCAATTTCAATGCTTGGCAAATACGCAAATAATTCCATAGCAGAGACGTGTCAAAGGCACTCAGCATATGCTTGTGCTAAGACACTGGCTGTCTCTCGATAAAAAGAAAGAAGGGGGTGGAAGAGAGCGAGAGAGAGAAAAAGAAACCGACTTTGAAATTCTACAACGGCTAGATGGGGAGGGGGAAAAAATTCATCTTAATATGACACAAGAGGCTTACAAGTCTCAGCATGCGCATGGGCGAAAGAAGTATCAGGGGCCCACAGCCTCTCTGTGCATAATGATGTTTTGAAAAATCGCACGCCGCTGTTTGCTTTTAAAAACCTACAGAGTGCAGCGCCAAACGAAGAGTCTCTTACTGGAGGCGCAAGGCGGTTGACAGAGAGCATTTGTCTTTATTTGCCGAGCTTCACCCTGGTTTACCGCACGGTCCGCTGGGAGAGGAGAGCCCTTAGATTAGATGCTAACGGACTTCTCAGGACACTGTCCAAAATGCTATTTTGCCTGGCTTGAGAGTGGCCAGCTGTGCCTAGCCCACATGTAAATGACGGCTTTGTTGCTTTTTTAAGTCAGGCCGCCCACTGCATTTGCTCTGTCAACGTAAAACTTAGGAGGATACAGTAACAACAGGAGAGTCCCGAGGGGCTCTACATTTCCCTGAAGGAAGCAACATGGCGTAAATCTCCTAGCAAAGACAACAAGTATTCAAAATACTAGATCAATCAAAACACTTAAAGGGACAGTTCACATCATTTACTCACACTCATGCACTGAAGAAAATTGGTTGCATAAACAATTTTCACTCAGAAATCGCTAGTAAATTTCAGAAACAGATACAAAGAGCAAGTAACACAAAAAAATGTGAAATGTTTAAGTAGAAAAACATACTCAAACAATCTGTTTTATTAACTTCGTTTAAAAAATAAAAATCATTTTGACAATGTGTCATTACAAACCTGACGGAAAAACACGAAAGAAGATATTTTAAAGAATGTCTAAAAACAGACAACACTGAAGCCCACTGACTTTCAAAATCGTTTGTGTTTCACACGAAAACATCAGGTTCGGAATGACCAAAAAAAAAGGAGATTAAATGAAACAAAATAAATTTTTGGTTGACCTGCTGTATAATTAACAAACACCCTGGCTTGTGTTTATAATGGTACCCATCTCAGATCTGCAATCTTCCTGTAAAAGCTGAATATTTATTATAATAATTTTTTATTATTACTTTATCATTAATTATTACTACTTTCACAAGTTTCAGCAGAGTGATCATAATCCCTGCTAACACTTCTACGCAAGAAAGTTATAATTAATGTCACCATGTTTTACTTAGTAGTCACCTTGCCAATGAAGTGAAAATGAAGTGTAAAATGAAAACGACCTGTAAAACTCTTCAGCCCTGACCCGCATGCACATACTGCACCACTCATATTACTAACTTTTCTCAGCAACGAAAAGGAAAGTGTATGTTATATAGAAGATGCCTTCCTGACAGATTTTCTCAGTGCTTCCACCAGCAGACACCATCCATTGAAATTTGTATGAAATGCAACCACCCCAGAATCTTTATAATGTCACTTGCACTACATCACTTCTGACAGGCCGCCATGCTTACCGTAAGAACACACTCGCTCTCATACTTTCGTCTTGATAACGCCGGTAACTATTTGTGACCGTGTAGTATTTCAAAAGGCCATCCAAAAAGGCTTCAGTTTTCCGCCTAATGCCAAAACATTATTATCCAAAACAATAATTATGCAACATATTCTCCCATCAGCAATGTTTTGACATTAGATGTTAGCCTGATTTATACAAATCTCATTTGCATGTACGTATGCAATCACACTGAATTTGTCTCTAATGTATTGTGACATGAACATAAACCAGGTTGCTTTGAAAGAAAAGCCTGCACTGTGAGCGAAAGATAATCATACAACATGTCCTGCATTGTTATAGCCTGACCGGTGATTAACATTAAATATGATCCATATAAAACCTCATCTGCTTGGCCACCAGACGAGATGAGATTGTACTCAACACAGGGAGCTGCAGTCTGGGATGCTGAGCGACAGATGCTAGATAAGTCTATCCAACCACATATAGGAATGAGGTCTATAACTTCAGTTTTATTTAGATCGCTCATCTTTGCCTACAGAACCAAGAATATTGTGAACCATGTAGCGGCTAAATCAATAAATAAATCAAACGAGGAGCAAAATATAAGGAAGCTATGACTTTTAACATGTGATGCAGAAAGTAAATCCTTCAAGGGAAATAAATAAATAAATTCTGAGTGGTTTATGGAGTTTGTGGACAGCAATAATCAGTAAATCCGGCCGGATTAAGCGATGGAGGGACCGTGAGAGCGGATTAATAAACATCTGCGGAGGCACTAGTCTCCAACATGACGCTCTCTAACCAAATCAAACCCAGAGCATATCAGATCATTAACCCCAGCGCAACATGTCTCAAAGCATCGGTAATGCACACCCGTCCTGACGTTAATGCGCTCTGCACACAACCCAACACCAGCTGTTTCAGTAAGTAAGATCAATTCGAGCAAGCTTTGAAAAGTCAACAGTGATGATGACTTTCACAGCAAACATCAAGATGCTTGTCACTTTCACTTGACTAAAAGCGACAAACAAATATTTACTTTTTGAAATAAATGACTAGCCTTAGTATATGTAGAAAATATAATATAATGAACATACACACATACATACTGTATAACAATAGATATACTGTATATGTTCATATATACTATATATATACTGTACACGTTCCTCATCAACAAGTGAAAAGTCACGTGATATGACGCAGTGCCTCCACGTGATTGGCTGATCACACTGTTAGCTGGATAATGTTATCGTAACAGGTGCACAAACCGGCCCGAATGTGTCAAACTAGAGAAAATGGGCAGACTCGTTACAAAGTAAACTCACCCACTCACATATCATTTCTGTCATGAACTTGAAATGACTTGAAATGCAAAATGATCTGTGAGTGATACAGTTTTTAGCGAATAAACCAAAGATACACTCCTGTGCCTGCCGCCATCATGACACCTGCAGTGCTTACTGAGGATCTGATGAATAATGATCCCAGAGAAGGTCACTTTTAGCGATAATAACCAAACAACAGTTTGAATTCATAAAAACATACAAAGTATTCTTGCTAGCTGCTGCAGCACTAAAATTACTTTTGAAGCGGTGCAAAACTTTACAAAAATGTTATTCAGGATAAGCTATTTGTTTTTATGCATGTGATCACAGCACATAAAATATGTTAAAAAATAAAGACAAAATAATAATACAAATAAAATAAATAATTATAGAATGCTGTCATATTTATTTATTTATTTACTTTTATTACATACTTTACACTGTTGTAAGGTAAACTATTTTCCATATACCAAATGTGCCCAGTAAACATATAGCCTAACACTGGAACAATATTGGACCAAAATTGCACACATGTACACCTTTATTAGTGATAATTTACAATCCTTTTACAATTCTACAGATAATATACTGTCAGTCCAACTAAATTATAATTCTACTACTCTAATAGCCATTCCAATTAATCATTTAGTTCACTACTGCCTTTCCAACTAGAAATATGAAGCCTATATAGATATGCTATTATTACTACTACTACACCTTCTATCACTAGGACTACTACTCACAATTATAATGCTAAATAATATAATGAATTGATCTTCTGTGGTTTGCTCGTCTATCGCATGCATAGAAATGTCTTGTAATAAATGGAGACGTCTAAGCAGTCGTCAAAGTGAGCATGTGTCCCTTCTCTAAGTAAATGCCTAAGAAAATACGTCGCTAACCAAAAACACAAGGCGAAACGTGCAACGGCATACTCACTCTCCGCATATGTTTGAGGTGCAGATAGAGCAGCAATATAAACGCGAGTTCAGCGTGACGGAGCGATGCACAGCTGATAACTAAAGACGCACTTACTGTGATACATCGAGTCTCTTCCCTTCCTCAGAGTGATGCGGGCTCTCTGCGAGACGCTCACTGAACCGAGCATCCGAAGAACACGGAGCGGATCTCCAAAAAGTGCCGCTTAATGGCAGAAGATGTGAGCGCCTGCGTTGAGCTGGAGATATCGTGCTATCCACACACGGTCCCCGCTGATTCCTGCATTAGATCAACATGAGCCCGCGCTGCTCGTGTGGCAAGGGGTGGGCACCTCCCACATACTGTGCTGGAGGGCTCCCAAAGAGTCACACAAATCACATCATCTTTGTGTCACGAAGGGCTGAGGCTTTGACATTAGGGATGCGAGGACACAGCTGATATGGCAGAAACGTAAACTTGCAGTAAAATGTGCCCATTTATTATTCATTTGGCTTTCAAGAGGGCGGGATGCTTTAGGTGTACTGCAAAGAGTAAATATATGCACTGTTAAAATGTTAGTAATAATAAAAAAAAGACTTTCATAACAGATATTGTAAATATATTTAACATACATACATTCACACACACACACACACACACATTATGATCTAAGCAGAAAACGTATAGGCCTATTAAGCATGTTCAGTAAGGCAATATGTATACTTGTATGGTAGAATATTACAATTATGTTGTAAAAAAGAATTGGGCGAATTGGCATTCTGTGAATTCCTTGTGCCATTCATTTGTTTAGATGTTAAAACTTAGAAAATAACAAAAATGGAAGATTAACAAAATATGACAGTGGGCTGCTGTTACTTGATTTTCTATACACTCATGAATGTTGATTCTGCTTAATAAATAATTTGCCTTTAACAAAACCACGTACTTAAGATATTACCACATTTGTTGTCCCTAATTAATAATAACAATGTTCATAATAACAAAAAAAGAGGCATTTTTAAAGGTCAGTTAAGCAGCTGATCAACTAACAAAAATATGTTCTAAGAATGTTCTGCCAAATTTCCCATTATATTATGAAAAATGTAATTTTGGAATGTTCAAGAGTTCTGAATGTCCAGTTTTTAAATGTTTTATTCATTCATTCATTCAATGTTAAGAGGTATATTTCATTTTATAATTTTGCAAACATTTAATATATTTAAAAACGTAACATTTAAATAACATTAGACAAATGTCCAACTAAATCATTTCAGAAATAAAACATTCCATTAATAAAGTATGAATGAATGAGGCATTTATAGCATTTCCATTTAAAAAATCATGTTTTTCTACGCTTTCAAAGACCACTTTGAACAAACCTTTTATTAACGTATTTGGAAGAACATTTGTTCATAAACTTGAGAGAACCTTGCCAGAACATTAACAGAGTTCTAGAATGTTCCTTGTCAACTGGGTGATGTTACAAAACATTGGTGGATGACTCTATTCTTCCAATTATATGACTACATGCTAATTGAACAAGGTGACTCCTGGAGACCCAAGTAATAGAAGCAATGATATTTACTTAACCTCAAATTCTTTTATTAACCTCATTTTTTATTTTTATTTTTTGTTCCTCTGACCTATCCAAAACCCAGAAAATGGACATTATTAAGGCTTTAACTCACAAAGCAGCATACACCTTTCAAAAATATCACTTTTATCCAATAGACTAATATTGTTTCTGTTTGGACCCAAAAAAACACTATAAGAATACAATAAAACAAATCCAGTTAGATAGCAGAAGAGTATCTCCTACACACTGTACTGCATTCAAGTGTTACTGTATATGTGGGATCTCTAAAAACCCAAAAAAGTAGTAATGTACATTTTTGATGCAGGATGATGCATCAAGTTAAAATATTTTGTATAATTAGTCCTAATAACATTAGTCATGAATTATCAACCTCATAGATGTTAAGCATGTCTTATAAGACCCCAAAAAGAACATCAGCATTAAGTGCACAGATCCTGATGAGTGGTTTGCAGAGAACACAGTTGCCAAATACTATACAAGAGAAACCCTTATGAAGCAGTGGCATTAGCTGATAAATTATGTATATGTCTTTTAATGAGATCACATTGCTCTATGTCATGATTGGAGTTTAGTCTCCCCCGCCTCCTTCCCTCAATACTATCACATTTTCCTCAATTAAGTTGGATCAGAAGACTGATCTATCCAGACACCTGCGCCAGGGGGTTTATAAGCTGTTCAGTAAGTGTCTTGATCAATGTTAGGGGCTTATTGACATGCTTAACTCCCGATGGCACCCTCTGTCTGCTGTGACAGAATGGCAAGGTGGAGAGCGTGACATGTTTTGACACTGGTGTGATGGGGTTGTTAGGTGCATGTCTGTGTGTGTTGCTGTGTAACTATAGCTGCTTTGCATATGTTCATGCAATTCAAAGACAGGAGCAGGAGCAGCAGTACACGAGCAGTGCGATTTCTCATGCACAGCAGCTTGAGAAATAGGTCTACAATGAATCCATCTTCCTTAGCACTCATATCCTCACCGAGGGAGGCAGATTGCATTCATATCGACTGTTAGCGGACACACTACGACCATCCAGATTCTCTAGCTGTGTGTTTAGGGCAGGTGAAATTTTAATGCAGTAAAGCTTCCAATTTGTGAGACTGTCGGGGAGGGAAATCAATCGTTTGTTATTAGATACATAACCTCGTGTCCACACGGAAGGTGCTAATCCACTAGGTGGCACAAGCTAACAAGCCTGTTGTCAAACACTAGCTGTTCAAATAAGGGTAAAACTGCTCACATTTGACTGTTTGGGGGGAAAATATAGCGCAACCGCTAACTGCTGCATTCTTTTAAGTTGCTCACTTAATTTTTTTATTTACATAATCACTGTAAACTTTGTATTGCAAACCAATCTCATGATTACACTGCAAGGAACTAAACAGATTCAGGCCCCTCTACAAATGAATTCCACCTTTGATCCCTTAACATTTTCATTATCCGTGCATAAACCCTAATTATAGTAAGTGGGATTGTAGAAAATCTTCTCCTTTTAAAATAGTCAATTGAAAGGTGATAATTAAAAGAGAAGTAAATTGAATTCCTGATGGGATTAACTTGCAAGAAAGACAGCGAGGAAAAGAGCAACAGTCTTGAAGGGAGAGCAGTGAACAGCAGCTTCTCCACTGTCTTTGTGCACTCAGACACATTTGCTGACTTCTCCTGCTGCATACATAATCGCTAAATCACAAAAAGATAAAAACGATGTTTGCTGCAAGGCTGACTGCATGTGAACAAAACAAAATATGCCAAATTATTACATATCTACTTACCGTGACTATTTAAAGATGAACTGCGTAATTTATGGGCCTGGAATAGCACTAATTATGACTATTACCGAACAGGTTTCCAGAACACTCCCCCTGTTTGTTATAAAGAAGCCATTCTCCATTTGAGGGTAGAGCTTCCAGTTTATTTGACCACTAATACATGGTGGGAGTTGGGAAACGTGTTTTTTTTTTTGTAATGCAGAACTTACATATATACATATAAATAAACAAATTCCAATAATATTTTCAAACATTTCACATTACACTAAAAGTTAGTCAGGGTCACCTGATGCTCACAGAAACCATTCACCTTGGATGGTAACCATAGCAACTGTAGGCCACTTAAGGAGTTTCCATTCATCTTGGATCATTATCCTAATAAACTCTCTGACAGAACATAATGTTGCAAATATATCACAAAAATCTGTATTTTTTTTTAAATCATCAGTTATCTTAAAATATATAAAATTGACAATGAACACAATTCAGGTTGCATAAGATAAAATAAATAAAATAATTTAAAATATAGACTACTGTTCAAAAGTTTGGTCAGCAAGTTTTTTTGTAAGAATTAATAGTTTCAAGCAATAATGACTTAATCTGATCAAAACAAACAAAGATTTCTACATTATTTAAAAATCTATTTCAAGTAAATGGTTTTTCGGTTACACTTTATTTTAAGGTGTCCTTGTTACAGTGTAATTATACATTTAAGTACTGAGTAATATTAATTAACTACATGTACTTACTATATGGTTAGGATTAGGATTAGGGTTTGTTTTAGGGTTATTTGCATGTAATTATGCATAATTAATTGTTATTATAATAGTGAGTATATGTAGCGTGTAACTGGGACACCTTAAAATAAAGTGTTACAGTATTTCTTTGAGCATTCTATTTAAAGAATGCTGAAAATAAAAAAACATCGTTTTTACAAAAATATTAATCAGCACAACTGCTTTGAACATTGATAACAATGATAAATGTTTCTTGAGCAACAAATCAGCATATTAATTCAAATGATTTATGAAAGATCATGTGACACTGAAGACTGGAGTAAGGGCTGCTGAAAAATTAGCTTTGTATCACAGGAATAAATGACATTTTAAAATATATTAAAACAGAAAACAATAATTTTAAATTATAATAATTTCACAATATTACTGTTTTACCATATTTGTAAATCAAATAAACGCAGCCTTGGTTTGCATTAAAAATGTAAATAATAATAATAATAACAATAGTAATAATAATAATAAAAATCACTGTCCCTAAACTTTTAAGCGGTAGTGTAAGATGTTCAATAGCAAGCTCTGGGTTGCAGTTTGGGTAGGGGAAAAAACATTAATATCGCAAAGGGTCTCTAGCCCGTAATTCCTGTTACAGTACAAGTACTGTATGTGGGCAGATATGATCTCAGACTTGCAGTCAGTCTCTAAAGGCATTTTTTTAATTCAAAGAAAGCAACCAGGTCTCTTGGATCTCTGTCCAAGTTCAAGGCTAAGCATTTCCACGCTGACCTCCAACTCTGTGATGTCTCAGCGTCTCCTGGGCCGAGCTCTTTGGGGACTCACTCATCTGCTTGGTGTCACTCTGCAGCCACTAATGACTCATGGACAGATGCATTTAACTGTCTGTGCTCCGGTTAACTACAACCTCTGCACCGTGAAATAAAGTTGCACTCCACACCGTGTTGACCTTTCTCGTGCTGAACGCGGTAAATCAATTATCTTCTGATGCAGTATTCAAGGGGTATTGATATTCAGGTTGCATGGGCTTTGTGGATCTTGATAGCTCATTAATACATAATATTCCCCATCCACTAAAGGGTTTATATGATTAAGACGAGATCTCCTGATCAACAGAGATTATAAACTGTGCAATGCAATAAAGAATATTAATGATGTTGAGAGAAGAGCTGCTCT